CCTGAATGTAACACAAGTGAGACGGAGAGACAGACTTCCTCTCTGTTTCCATGGTTGCTGCTACTCTTCCATTTTGCTCTCTTGCTCTTTGCTGCTGCCATGAACTAATGCTCTGTGCCATGTGCCCCTCTGCCTTGGAGCCAGCCTAGTATGGATTGAAACCTCCAGTAACTGTGAGCTGAGTAAACCTTTCCTTCCTGCATTTTGGTTTCTGGGTATTTGTCCCAGCAATGAGAGAATACTAAGATAGTATAATAATAAATAAGCAAATATTTGATTCTGTAACTTTTGCTAAATCTTTTATTGTGCCGAAAACTCTTATGAATAAAAACTGGAGACATTAAATGGCAAGAAATAGTAGTAGCAATGTATGGGAAGAAGTGAGACCTTAATTCTGTTAGGTATCCTTGGCTACAGGTGAAGAGGCTTGTACAAAGTACATTCTAGATTTTCTTGGGAATAGAATCCATGTCACACTGTATATCTCAAGAGAAATAGTATTGATAAAGTATCTCTGATTTACTATGAGAGGTTGGATCATAGGCTTACCGATGCTGAAAATCCAGTGATCTACTGTTCAACAGCTGGAGATTGGGTGAAGGCAGTGATATATGACAGACACTGAGCCTGAAGTCCCAAGATCAAAGGAAGACACAGCTATTAATTCTAACCTCATAGAGCTGAGATAAATGTCCCAGGGCAGACAGTCAGGCAGAACAGAAAAGAAGCATTGCTTTTCCTTCCACCTTTCCCTCTATTTAGACCCAGTGAGTTGGGTGATGAGTGCCCCCACTGGGCATGTACTTCACTGAGTCCACTAATTCAAATACCAGTGTCATCCAGAAACACCTTCTCAGACAGGCCCAAAAATAATATTTAATCTGGCCCAGTCAAACTGACATAAAATTCACCATTACTCTGTCATCCGCCTTCATTTTGCAAGGACAAATTCACGACTATGAAATTTTGTCAACTTTTGTATAAAATAAATGAAAAGATGAACATTCCACGGTAGCCCAGAAATAATACTTAAAGGGTCTTTCACCATGACTGCTATTATATAACTGTTGCTTGGAGATGACTGTGTGTGTGTGTGTGTGTGTGTGTGTGTGTGTGTGTAAGGAGGTTGGGGACACAGACAGGAAGAAAGGAACAGCTGTGTTATGCATGCTTATCAAGCAGAGCTATCTTCAGCAAAATAGAACTTAGAGTATAATTTGAAATCAAAGAAACACTTTCATACCAAACTGTTTGACCAGTTTAGTGCCTTCTTACTAGTTAGTCATTTCTTAGGATTTAAAATATATTTCCTGAAAAGTTTAGGGCTGACATCTCTGGAAAGTATCAGAATATGTCACTGTAACACACTAAGATTGATGGATTGGCTTACTTGTCACTGGTTGATCCTGTAGTAGATAGAACAAAAGATGGAATTTTGGAAAGAAAACTGATAGCAAGACATATTTTAGATAGGAGCAATGTGTGAGGGACACAAGCCTATGGGAAACTTGCTTTATGAACAAAGACAAGATGGGTTGCAGCATAAGAAAATTTGGTGTCAATGAAGGAAAGACTTGGAATATGGAAAAGAAAGTTTGTGGAGACTTAACTCCCTTTTTTTTGAAAGTTCAATTTATTTATTTATTTTATGTATTTGGTTGTTGCATGGTCTCACTACACAGCTGGGACTCATGGTGACCTTCTTGTTTTCAGCTTTCTAAGAGCTGGGATTATAGGCATGTGCAACTATGCCCAGACTGTGGCCTGGCTCAGCACACCCTAGGGCTGAGGCTTGCACAGCGTGTTGTGCTGGGGGTCAAACTGTGGCCCCTGGGCTTTGTCTAAGCAGGTGCTTTAGACCACTGAGCTACCTCACCAACCCTCCTTCCTTCTTTTGGTAGAAATTATTTCCTAGATTTTTATAAAGAGAGTTAACAACTTTTTTTTTAAAAATGTATTTGGTACAGGGTCTCACTATGCAGCTCAGACTTGTAGTGATCCTCCTGTTTTCAGCCTTCCCAGTACTGGGATCACAGGAGTGTGCCACCATTTCTGGTCTTGGTGGCTGGCTCAGTGCACTTGGGGACTGGGCCAGCATGGCATGTGGTGCTGGGGATGGACCTGGGTCCTTGTGCTTGCCTACATAGTCCTTAGTCCATTGAGCTGTCTCGCCAGCCTGGATAGTCAACAACTTTTAAGGTTCTAAAATATGCCCCATTTGTGGGGAAGAATATTGGGAAGAGTATTGGGAAGTAGAAACTATAAACATACAAGTTTTCAAGCCTATTAAGCAAAAAATATGTGATTCTCTAATTTTCTTGTTCTAGGGCTCCACAGATACAGGTACTGCTTTTATCTGTTAGAACTAAACAATAAAACAAAGCAAAACAAACCCCCCAAACAACATCTAACTTTAGAGAATTCTTTGGAAGTTTAAATGAAGTAAAAATCTTACTTGTTTCCTAATTGGAAGCTTTTCATCCATCTCTCCACTTAAAATTGTATTTGTGGTATCTATTTTCTGTAATAACTTTTCACTTCCCCAAGGCAAAACAATCAAATATCTCCTTATTACCTAAAATTAATAGGCCCAAAATCTTCATTTTCTTATCAGAGTTTATTGTTGTACATATGAGGTACCATGCCACCATCAGAATTATATCCAGATATGTTCTTTTAAAAAACTCAGAGAGAAAATCTTTCCAGTAATTTTCATTCAATGTGAATGACAAGAATAACTATAAACATCGAAATAACCATTTCATTTCTTCCTGAGGAAGTTTCATATTTTAAGCAATGAAAAAGGGAGTACTATACAAAGCTAGTTTTAAGTCACGCTATTTCTCATTCTTTTCTCAGGTGTGTTTTGTTACTTTCAGAATAATATAATAGTCAGGTGAAGTATAGTGTAAAAAGTATGCATGATGTCTAGAATTTTATGCTGTCTCCAACACATATTAAGCGGTCAAAGATCCTTTCACAGCTTTTGTTGCTTTTCTAAGCACTAAACATGAACTTGTGAATGAGTAAATTTTGGTACTGTCTTTTTCTCTATTCATTATATAAACACTGAGTATGTTTTTAACATTTATTTTAGGGAATGAGCACAATGAATTCAATTTAACTACACAAAGGAAAGCCATCAGCAGTTTTACTTAGAAGCTCAAATGTATATCTCACCTTTAAGCATATGTGGATCAATTTTTATTTCCCTTTTTCCTGTATCAGTGGAAACCCTGCTTCGTGTAGGTAACTGCTGGGGTCTATCATCACGCTATCTGACCTTTGCAGAATCAGACATGTTTTCTTTAATTAATGGAGATGAACGACTCTCCTAGTATGTTTGGTCTGTGCTGTCTCAGAAGAGACTGTAGTAAGCATGAAGAAGGTTGTCTATTACATTTACCCAAATGATTTTGATTTAGGTTTTTATCCAGGGGTTAAAATTTTTCTTCTCAATTCTTTGTGACATTTTATTTTAAATTAATGTATTCTTTGGGTACATAAAACCTTAAAAATTAATTATAGTGTACACTAAAGCATTTATAGTAAGTAGATATGACAGCATGTCTTCTAATTAGTAAATAACACACAGTTTAATTTCACATGTTATGATGACAATGGAAATATTTAGCTATAGCTTTTCCTTATGTATCCTTTTTCCTAACCAGACCTTTACTACTATATTATAAATGCTAAGTAACAATAGTATGGAATTTATTTTGTATTTAAATTTTATGCACATGTAAAGTACATTTAAAAATTAAATAGTAACAGAAAATATGCCTTATTTTCTTTTTGAATACATTATTAGTCATATATATCATTTAAAATATAAGTGTACATGTATTTTAAGAACCATGTTTTGCTAATTTTTATACTTCTTGCATTTAATTTAGTAGATAACTGGGAAATTTAACTTAATTGTCTTCCATGAGAGTGACGTATGAAATATTTTCAAAATATGGGAATTTATCCTGTCTATTTTCACTACTTTGTATCAAAAGCATCAGCTCAAATGTTGGAAAACAAATCATATATTAATTTTTTGTTATAAACCTATACTTTGTACAATTTTATTTTGAACATAGGAGAAAATGTGGTTTTTCAATAATTTAAGTGTGAATAGCCTAAATACATCACCTAGGGAAACTGTTCTTAGTTTTCACTTAACTTTTATTCTGGGGAACATAAAAAAGTCATCCATATTTAAAAATTGATTTCTTTCTGGTTATGATACATACTTCAGACTCCATGAATTCATTTTGGTAGAACCAGAGAGGTCTACTGCAATAGATTTATAGCTTACAAATGGGCAAACAATTCTCACTGGTATATCTTGAGATCCCTAACATTTCTCCTTTTTAGAAGATCGAATCAGTATACGTACATTATCATTTACTGTTTCGGTATACTCAGTGTGTTTCTATTTGCCATCTGAAAGGTTTACTCCATATATACATTTCAGTATAACAGTTACATTATGATGGAAGCTTTAGTCATTTTTACACAAATGTACTAGATTATTTATATATATGAAAAAATTACCATTTTAGCACTTATCTTTTTTGATACAGATAAAGCTCATATATGACTTTCTTGTCTCTGGTCTAACACAAATTATAATTTACATAGTTTTCTAAATACTTCTGTAAAGTTAAATGTTGGCAAGCATTTTTCATGAATGTTATGTTTTTGGAACTGTATGTTACATTGTGATGTTTATTTTGGTTCTTATTTTGTAGGAAACTTTATAAAATCAAAGAATAAGAAAACATACAGGCAAACGGTGGTCTAAAATGTACAGAGATGTAATCTTAGTTGATGTACAAAAGTGTAAATGTTACTATGAAATGGAACATTTTGCATTTGCGTTCATGTACGTTGATTGCTACTGACTTCCACACGAGTGCACCGTAAGCCACGGCGATCCCCCCGTCGGGCGTGGTTTATAAGGAAGGCCACAGGCCCCAAGGCTCACCACTGGTAGTTTTCTTTCCCTAGTCATCCACATGCCAGCACATGGAAGAAACTGTTCTTTTTCGTTCTTGGAGAGGTATATTTTTTGCCAGCCTTTTGGTAGCTCTGGAAGCTTTGGAAAAGGTGTATGTTATTACATGGAAGATAAATTTTTAATGAGTCTTTTCTCAGCGCTATCTCACTTTCTGAAGCTCCTGTCTCAGCCAGGATGGCAGAGGCTGCCCCAGTTTGTGCAGCAGCTTTGAGAGTTCCACGTTGTGATCTCTGTAGTAGCTTGACAGAAATGCTCTGCTCTGAAGGGGGCAGAAGAGAGGAAAGTACATTTTATTTTGTTTGTTGCAGTATATTTCATAGACTTTGATTATGTTTAAGTATCAAATATGCCAGATCAGCTGGGCATAATCATGGCTGCCTATAACCCTATTACTCAGGATGCTGAGGCTGAAGGGTTGCTGCAAGTTCTAGGCCAGCCTGGGCCACATAGTGGGTTCAAGGCCAGCTTGGATTACATAGTGAGACCCTGTCTCTAAAAAAAGAAAAAAGAAAAAGAAAACAAAATACTATCCTGAAAGTATCAAGTATCAATACACAGGCTTGGATTAAAATTGTATTAAAATTATTACAGAATTATATTAAAAGTGTATTAATCATGTAGCACATCTTATATACTTTGTTGACAGTCTTCAGACTTCGGAATTTTTCTCTCCTAGGAGGAGAGGTGAACAGTGTGGTGAGAATACTGCTTACTCCTCTCTGTCCCATATATTTGTGTTTCCATTTCCTCTGTGGAGCCTCTTCTACTTTTGTTTCTTTTCTGGCATTTTTTTTGCACAAAAATCAGCCACTTTAGCTCCTCAAATAAATGCAAGAGGTACTGCAAAATAACCTTGTTGAGAGATACAGCTGATATCCTGAAAAAATGTTTTTTCTTATCTGTGTATACTATCAAATTTTGTACTGTTTCTAAACATGTCTATCTTAGACATACAAGAAATATTTTCTTCAGTATCTTTCAAACAGTTTAGCTTTAATAAATACCTAGGGAAATGTTCTGAGATAAATATGATATTTTTTATATTGCTTTCTTGAAACGCTATCAAATTGCCCTTTCATTTCTTTTATTTTTATTTTTTTTCATTTCTTTTAATTCAGTAGAATTGTTTACATAATACTGTAAAGGTATATTTCAATAATTAAACAATACTGAAGTTTTCAAAACAAGAGAATCTTTCTCTTCCTCCTGCCTCCCATACAAAATTTAAATATGAGCATGTTCAACATGAACATGGTGAGCACTCTTTCCAAGGTATTTTGCTTTACCTTCTTCTAATAACTGACACCAGAAGCCTTTATGAGAATCAAATCTAAAGAAATAGGAAGCCCCAAACAGTATTTTTCAATTTTTGTAAGACTTAATGACCTACAGCACATGCGTTATTTTATTATTAGTCTAAACTTGCTGTCTTATCTCTATCAGACTTGGTACAACAAATGGTCCTCAAAATCTTGTTAGATTAAAAAATTCCTAATAAGTTTGTGTTACCTGATGATTCTTAGACTCGCTTCATATTGTCACTTAACATATTAAATATTATTGAAAAATCCTGAATATTTTTACTTCTGAGTTTTAAAATATTGTAATTTACTTATATTCTTATATCCAAGGTATATGTTAACTTGAGTGATTATTACATAAAAATATGAATAAAACTTGCTATTCATGAAATAAGCATTAAAGTCAAAATATAGTATATATCAAGTGAGAAAACTACAGCATGAAGGGTCATGTTGTGACCATTTGAAACAAAGCAAATATAAAGTGCTAAATCCTACAGTGCGTATGCTTCCATTCCTCAAAGCCTAAATTATCAGCTAGTATGTTAGCATTTGGGAAACATACACATTGTCTGAGTTTATTATCATATTAAAGCTCAAACTTAGTATATTATACTAGTAATTAATATTGTTACTCAAGCCACACAATAGTTCATAGTCACTTGACAATGAAAAAAATTAGAAAGTTTTTGGTCCTATTTCTAATATGTAATGTCTTTCCTTGGTTTCAGATAACATTTCTAGTGCTAAAATTTCTACGCAGATCTGATTTTTCTTTTGAAATGAGTATCTTTTTTTGTTCTTATCAAAAATGGCAAATTCCACAAATACCATGTATTCATATGTAATTGGAAAAATCAGTGCAAGAAACCTACACGTATATAACCTTAAATGTTACTTTTAATTTTTAGGAAAGCTGAATTTTTATTTCAATCATTTTTCTAAATAAATAGATAAGGTAGATGTTATTGGTGTTTTCTACATTTAGTTTATATTGCTAAAACTGTACTTACATCAGAATCCATCGGAGGGTATTTTCTTCCTTTACTCTTTCCAAGGCATTTTGTTTTACCTTCTTCTAATAACTGACACCAGAAGCCTTTATGAGAATCAAATCTAAAGAAATAGGAAATACCAAACAGTATTTTTCAGTGTTTGTAGGACTTAATAACCCATAGCATATGTGTTGTTATTTGATTATTAATCTAAAACCATGGAAACTGGAATTTTTATGGTATTCTTTTATGTAATATCTTTTGGTGTACTTCCAAATTCTAAGTCCATATGTCATATTTGTAAGTTTGCCAGATTCTTAATAGAAACTTTTAAGCAATAAATACCCTGTTAATAGAAATAATAAGGCTATGTCCTTTATCTGGAAGGAAAAAATCACAAATCTTAAACCAGTTCTTTTCCTTTATAGAGTTAAAAAGTGTCAAATTGATCTTAATCTGCATTTCTGGATTTAGATGTTATTTATATGACACAACTACAGAGTATTCAAGAGAAAGCTTTGGTGTGCCATGGAGTGCTTACTTTTTGGATTCTCTAGCTATGATCCATTTAATTTTAGAGCTAATTTTTGTTTTGGTAATAGCTCTGTATTAAAGTTGTAGAACCTATAAGTGCATTTTTCCCCCCTGCCATAGTTATAATAACAATAAAAATAGCATGTGAAATTTAAGTTTACCAAAATATTTCATAGAACTGTTTCTCACGTGAGCCTTCATTATAGCCCCTTAAGGACAGGGTGTGCAGAATTCTTATTTTATAGTACTTGTCATAGTGTCTGACTCTTTGAATATTCACTAAATAGTCATTCAATAAACAATGAAAAGGAAGAAAAAAATTTTTTGTGGTACTGGAGATCAAACTTGGGACCTTGCTCTTAATGGGCAGGCACTTATGCTGCTGAGCTATCCCCGGCTTGAAAAAATTTATTAAGATTTATTTTTCTTGGACTATATAATTTGTCCACATTAGAGTTGAGGCCTTCAGATTCTAGAGTTTTGGCCTTTTCTTCTCCATAGGTTTCTCGGTATGCTTTGTGTTGTTCACTGCAAACGAAAAAGTAATTTCTATGTTTAGATATAAAAGTAGCCAGCAATAACAATTCTTTTGTATTGTTTGTTTTACTCAGTGATTCTATTGTTATATCATCTTCTGCATTAGAAATAATTACCAGTTAGGGTCACTTTTTACTTTGGTCTTTAATTGATCATTATTTTTTCTTTTCTGTGTTTTAGGGAAGGGTCTACAGGGTGTTCAGTGTTTCCCTCCTAGATCAGACTTGTAGTGATTCTCTTGTTTACAGCCTCCCAAGAGCTGGGATTATAGGCATGTGCCACCACGCCCAGTCTCAATGGTTGTCTCAGGGTGCCTGGGGGTGGGGCCAGCTTGGCCGGGCCAGAGATTTAACCCCTGGCCCCTGGGCCTGCTTGCAGGCTCTTTAATTCACTGAGTTGTTTGGCTGGACCAATAATACTTTTTTGGACGCTACTTCCAATATTTTTCTTAAAATAATGATGTGAAAAATTTTGAAATTTTGAAGAAAAGCATATTTGTATTATGATAAAACCCTGAAATACATGAAGATAAAGTTGACCAAAAGTATGTGCACAGAAAACTGCAAAAACATTGTTAAAAGAAATTATAGAAGGCCTAAATGGAATGGAGCTATACTCTTTTCACAGATCAGAAGACTATTTTTAAAATGTCAAGTCTCTCCAGATTTATCTATAGAGTCAGTGTGATTGCAATTAAAATTCAGGGGAATCTTTTCTCTTTGTAAAAACTAAAAATGATTCAAATATATATGAAATGGCAAAGATTCTAGATAAGCTAAAGCAATTTGAAACAGTTAAAAAAAAGTTGGAGATCTCACAGTACATAATCTCATTTACTACAATGCCACAGCAATCAAGGTTGCATTAATAGGTCAATGGAATAAAGTAGAACTGAGAAATAGACTTATACATCTGTGTTATCTTATTCTCAAAAAGTAGGTGCCAAACTAATTCAATGAAAGAAAATTAGTCACTTAAACAAACTGCAATAGAGAGATTTTGTATCTACATGTAGTAAGTGAACATTGGTCCTCACATCAGACTATATATAAAAATTAATGCCAAATGGTTCCCTGACCTGAGCCTAAGAACTAACGCTACATAAATTATGGAAAAAGTACAGGTATGGTGCTGTGTACCAGAAATCCCAGTGCTTTGAGAGGCTGTGGCAGAAGGATCACAAGTTTGATCCCAACCTGTTGGCAACTTAGTGAGACACTCTACGAAAATAAAGCACAAAAAAATGGATGACAACCACTATGGACCCAATTCTCAGTACTACAACAAAAGAAAACGAAACAAACAATCAAAAAACAATTACAGAAGAAGGTACAGAGAAAATTTCATAAAAATGTATAATCTTAGATTAGGCAAAGTTTGTAAAATGAATAATAAAATGATAATTTTGATTTCATCAAAATTTAAAGTTTGTGCTCACTTCAGCAGCACATGTACTAAAATTTATTAATACAGAGGAGATTAACACAATTCCTACACAAAAGAAAACAGCCAACGAGGGAAAGTATATGTAAACTATTTATACAAAGGAAATTTCATTCAGAATATATAACTAAATATAAAAGATAATGGACTGGGGAGATTGCTCAGTAGAATAAGCACTTGCTTAGCAAGTACAAGGTCCTGAGTTCAATCCTCGGTACCACAAAAGAAAAAAAGTATATATAATAATGAATAAAAAATTGAGTAAAATATTGAAACAGAAAAAAATAAAAAGTGTGAACTATCAACAAACAAATGAAAATTTACTTGAGATCATTTGTCATCAGAAGAATGCAAAATATAAATTACAAGTGAAACAACACTTACTAGAATGGGTGGATTTAAACACCAATATCAAGAATTAGCAAAGGTGTGGAACAGATACAACTGTCATGCATTGTTAGTAGAAATGAAATCTATTATAACCACTTTGTAAAGCTTCTTTTAAATTTACATACATGATTATTATGTGACCCATTTCTAGGTATTTGGTTAAAGAAAATAAAAATATGTGTTCATGCAAAGATCTTTGTATAGATATTCATAAGAGCTTTGGTCATACTAGTGAAAACATAACAATGATCTTTCCATCAACTGATGAAAGATTATTCAACAATAAAAAGACACTTATTAATGTAATAGAACAAAGAATCTCAGAAGATCTAATCCAAATTATAGAAAATAGATGGCTTGATTACAGAGGACTGACTTAGAGAAAAAGCATGGGGAAACATCTGGATTAATGGAAATGTTCTATATCTTGCTTATGGTGGATACAACTGTAAACACTTGTTAAAATTCATTGAACTGTGTAATTGTAATGAATGATTTTTAAATTATCCATCACGACAACTTTATAATATGAATTTGTCCATATGACAGAGTGTATCAGAATCTGTAATGAAGCTAATCTTGTACAGTTCATAGCTATAGGCTTATTGTTTCCCTAGTGTAAGAAATTGAAAGAGTAAATAAAAATCTGAAAGGTACAACAGATACTGTGAAAGAGAAAGAAAATGTTCAAAGGGAAGGAATAACTGGCATGAAGGAAAGGAAAAAGAAAGAAAGGGAAAATATAGATGCATATACACAGGAAAGCTTGGATAACTGAACTGCTGTTTTCTGCTGGCCTATTGGAAGGAACAGTCAGCACTTAATTTTTTTATTTATTTATTTTTAAAAATTTTATTTCATTGATAAACAGATAGCAATGAGACAGTTTCAAATCAAATCG